GTATTATTTGCATTAGGCATGCCTTGCATTTTTGCATATATTTCACCACTAAGTCATAAATGAAGTTCTGACTCTTCTGAAAGCGGGTGAGATGTTGATTGTCTTTAATTGATGGCGTGTTCTTGCATACCTTGGAACAAATATATTTCTGTCAAAAAGAGCTGCCTTCACACAATGATCTAGAGCGATAGCTAGCACATGGTTCGTTTCCTTTGGGATCGACTGTGAAAAGAGCGTCATGGACAGAAAATGTTGTGAAGGGTGGTAGCTATTGACAACCACTGCACTTCATTGTGTGGTGTTTTTACTTGGAGTTATAAGGTGGTCATCTTCATAAAAAACGTAGTGCATAATGATTTAAAAAAAAAAAAAAAAAAAAAAAAAAAAAAAAAAAAAAAAAAAAAAAAAAAAAAAAAAAAAAAAAAAAAAAAAAAAAAAAAAAAAAAAAAAAAAAAAAAAAAAAAAAAAAAAAAAAAAAAAAAAAAAAAAAAAAAAAAAAAAAAAAAAAAAAAAAAAAAAAAAAAAAAAAAAAAAAAAAAAAAAAAAAAAAAAAAAAAAAAAAAAAAAAAAAAAAAAAAAAAAAAAAAAAAAAAAAAAAAAAAAAAAAAAAAAAAAAAAAAAAAAAAAAAAAAAAAAAAAAAAAAAAAAAAAAAAAAAAAAAAAAAAAAAAAAAAAAAAAAAAAAAAAAAAAAAAAAAAAAAAAAAAAAAAAAAAAAAAAAAAAAAAAAAAAAAAAAAAAAAAAAAAAAAAAAAAAAAAAAAAAAAAAAAAAAAAAAAAAAAAAAAAAAAAAAAAAAAAAAAAAAAAAAAAAAAAAAAAAAAAAAAAAAAAAAAAAAAAAAAAAAAAAAAAAGAGTTCTTACACCGAGCATTGGGGCAAAGTAATGGGGTTGACTTTCACTATTGCAGTGATTGTTACTAAGTGAAAAGCCTAGTGAATAATAAAGCTTATGTTGTTTTGGTGTTGGAATTCTGGAGAGATATGACTTGCGCTACATATACATATATATAATAATACCGCCTCTGTTTTGTTCCTTGGTGTGTTTGTAGCACAATGTTGATTTTGGATTAATTATGCATCAATCATGCCTAAGTAGATTAAGAACGGATTTTATTGATTTTAGTGTCTTGCATGCGGTTTTATTTTTATTTTTTCATCCTTAGGCATAATGCATGTGATTTCCTTCTTGAGTGAATTACTTGGACGTTAAAAAATGTGAGGGACTTTATTTTTGGATGATAAAATCTTATTCTTCCTAATTTTGAATTAGTTGGACACGTGTGTTAGTGTGTTAATGGGTTTGTGTGTTCAGTTTTGATGGGGATGTTCTTGCTGCATGGTATTTAACCTTTCCCTTGATATTTTTTTCTTTTTTTCGAACCTCACCCATCTCGTCCTCACTATATATCTTCATTTTCAGAACCTGAGAACCCCATTTTTATTTTTCTCTCTTTGAATTTTTCTTTTAACCATTTGTGTTCTTGCATCATTTTCTAATGTGCTTCTGAAACACTTTGGCTGATGGCAAAAGACTAGAGAAGAGATGGACAGTCTTCAACGATTAGAGATCAGTTCAAGCAACGACTTTCGTCTTCGGTTATGTTTTTCTTTCTCTCTCTCATTCGATGTTCTTACTCAGGGGGAGATTTGCCTTTGGCATTTCAGTCTCAAAAGGGGGAGAAATAGGATGTTTCTGAAGATGTTGGGGATAATGTTCTAGTTGTTTGCTTCTGATTATATTGGGTGCTGTTTTTTGACATGTTTCTGCAAGATGTAAGAACGTCTATGTCTTGCTGCTTGATTGTTTTGACTAGAACACGGGTACAGGCCCTTCGGCATCCCGTAGTTCGAAAAAGGGGGAGAAAGGCAGAGATGGTCAAGGATGATGCTGAGAAGTAAGGGGGAGATTCAATAGCTGAGATTGGTTTTTTGTTAGAACCTCTTATGACTTTTCTTTTGTGTGGCTGCTGTTAGTACTAGTTGTGATTGGTAGGATGTTTGCTCTGATTGTTTTATGCTATGTGCGTCTAATGAGTTGTGACTGCAGGTACTTTATGGACTGTGTTCTTACTCAGTCACTATTTGCGATATTCTTACTGCAGTGATTTGTTACTTATGATATTATTCTGCATATTCTTGCTTGTTGTTCTAACTGTGTTTCAGGTTATCTTCATTATATGATTTTCGAACTAGATGCCAAAGGGGGAGATTGAAAGAGTTATATTTTTGGCAATGAAGTTCAAAAATTAATATAAGTGAAAATATATTCTTGCAAGCATGAGAAATAAAAAGGGAAGTTCTTTTATTTATATTTATATTTATATATTCGAATATATTTATATTTATATTTATATATTCGATTTATATACATATATATTAGATTTACATGATCTTATTATGGATATATTTTGTAGGAAATCATATAAGAAGGAAAGAGAAGATAGAGATCTCCACCTACCATATCTCTTATGATTTACATGGAAGGAAATTGGATAGACTTGGAAGGAAATCAAAAAGGGAGTCCTATACTTGGAGAACACTCCACATCCTAGGGATTGTATATATATCTGCTTGAAGAACGAATTTTGGAGAGCTGAGAGCATCATATTCTATTCCATATTCGAGCTGCAAGTTTTTTGTGTTTTATTTTCGTTGGTCAGTTTTCGGTGTTCTTACGTCATCGAAGAACTGAAGTCTGTTTTGTTTTCTTTTCTTTGTTTTTCATTCAAACACTTGTGTGATCAGTGCTTAGGGATTAAGTACTGTCTTTAGCTCGAGGGATTCGAGAGGTAAAATCCACGGGACGTGGTCGGAGAAGTAGTTGATAGAATCGTGTGTAGTTGTGGCTAGACTAGAAGGGAGTTCGAGTCGTGTAAGTCCAAACTATACAAGTGTGCACAAACGGTTTATCAATGAAAGAGCTCTGAGGGGAAGTGGGACGCTTCCCTGAAGAGTTTTTAAAATCTTCAATTTATTGCTTCCGCATTTTATAATTTTTGTTTTAGTTCGTACTACAAGTTGAGCGCACTCATTACAAAATACCTACGTTTCAATTTTCATTCAAATTTAATGGGAAAAGAAAAAAAAAGTATCCGAGAGTAAATTAGAATGTTTTAAACACTTGATTTTATTATATTTTTGAAATTTCCAATTAAGATGGCCAGCCAATCCATGCAGTATTTTTCGAGAAGTAATATGATAAAGATTGATTTTTTTGCATTTAGCTTTAAATGCAACCATCGGTAAGCATAACTTGCCGTGTAACATACATAAAAAAATATATTTAACAAATTGTACACAATGTTAGTGTGCCGTATATTTCTTAGAATACTGTTCACCTTTAGCCATAACCGCCCGTCTAGCTCAGTCGGTAGAGCGCAAGGCTCTTAACCTTGTGGTCGTGGGTTCGAGCCCCACGGTGGGCGAGAATTTTGTTTTAACCTGTTTTTGGCTCACAGCATTTTCATTTAGTTCGAACTGCAAAATAGTGAAAAAAAAATATAAGGCGGATCGATTTTTTTTTTTTGTAATTTAAGAAGTCTTGTAGTGAAATTTCAGCAGCAAAATTTAGATCTAACACACTCTAGTTAAATTTCAGAGAATAAACAAAAATAAATAATAATAATAATAATAATAATAATAATAAATAAATAAATAAATTGGCCAATAGTACATTTATACACAAGTTTAAATGATGCACATCAATCGGTTTATATTGCTCCAATTTTGCTTGAAAGTGTAGCCCATTAAAAATCTTCTCTCAAGGTAATTTTTTTTTCTTACTTCTATTTGTGCTTATGTGGCATGAAAGAGAAGGAATTATTTTAGAAGTCTTTCTACATGTGAAATTACTTCTAGATTTGATGATTCGTTTTTTTCCTTTATTTATTTCTCTTTTATGTTAATTAAAATATATAACAATGTTTATATAAAGATTATTTTATTTACTAAAACATATATCTAGTATTTACTAAGATACTAACTAAACTTGAAGAAAAATTTTAAATTATAATCTAAGTGATTGATTAAATTATAGTTTGTTGGTATTTATGTGTACACACTTTATCAAAAGGCAAATTAATTTACACAAACAAAAATAAAAGAAAAACAACAAAACACTTCTAAAATTATATTATAAATTATTTAATAGTTCAAAGTTTGTTCACTCTTTAAGTCTTTTTTTTGCTTTTTCTCTAGACATTCACCATTGGAGGGTTATTTAAGAATATGTTATCTCATTCAATCCAGTTGAACTAAACTGCAATCTATTTTCAACGTGCTACTAGTTGTGCTTACCAATAACAACAATTTGTACCAGTTAAATCCTTAAAAACTTAAAAACTCTGTCTTCGTCCTTTGAATGAGTTATGTTGATGATAAATAATAATTCTCCACATGACACTAAGTATTCTTCTTTTGTTTCTTTACTTATAGTTCATATCATTTCTGAAAATGTGTATTCATATTTTTCTTTTGTTTCTCTACTTATAGTTCATATCATTTCTGAAAATCTGTAATGAGTGCCTTTTTATCATTTCTAAAAATCTTGAAAGCATGATTTGCTTTTCTTCAAAAATATAAAAATCTTGAAAGCTCTTTTCTTCAAAAATATGTCTTCTTTTCTTCAAAAATATAAAAATCTTGAAAGCTCTTTTCTTCAAAAATATGTCTTCGTAATTACTGTAATTTGGAATATGAATGCATCTAAAATGAGTGGTAGCGCAATGCCTTGAATTTGTTGCTTGCCTACATACAAATATCCATCTAACTTATAAGTACGATGAGCGATAAATATATGGTTTTTTTTTTTTTCCACAAAATTTAATAGATATATTAGTTAAACCTATCCTTTAGTCTTGTTTTAAATGGGTTTGCCTCATTCCGTGAGAACAGCAAGGCCAGCCGGTTGGATTACCACCAAAGGTATTATTAACCCCCAAAACAACCTAACACCACAAAATAACCCCCAAATCATTCTCAAAACACAGGGGAGAAACTAATTCACATCTTCGCAACAACAAATCAATAAAATTTAAAAAAAAACCGAGCAAAAACTAATTTAAAAATGATAATAACAACAGCAGTCTTCCACACTATCTCTGGATTGAAAGAAGACAGCAGATACCTTGAGATCAACCGTGAATTTGCCGCCAGCTAGAGCCTCAGCAAAGTCGGCTAGTCGAGAGGTCTCGTAGTTTTGGAAGGTTCGTTTGAGTAAAGCTTTATCTTCTCCTCCACCGGCAAACTAAAGAACCGTCAACCGTTCCATTTGACATTACTAAAATCGAACAACAGATCAATCAAACATATGGTACAACTTGTAAACTCGAAAGAAGTTAACCTGGAAAACACCATATTCCCGAGAACTGGAAACATGCACTTCTGGAACGGAAATACGAAGATATTCAGTTACTCAGTGTCGAGATCCTTTAGAATTAGGAATTGCAGCAGCTGAGCGGCAATCGGGCGTTTCCTGGAATCATCTGCGAGACACTTTTTTGAGAATCGACTATTCTCCTTATTCCAATCTTTAGTGCCTTCAACCCCTTTTTCACTTTCGATTTTTTTTTCTGGATTGAACTTGTTCGGCACACGCTTCTCTAAATAATTTTCTTTACCAATTTACGAAATTCATCACGGGAGGAGATGGGTATGTGCCCATAATTTCAGAAATTGGTAAAAAAAATTATTAAAAAAAAGCGCCTGCCTAACAAGTTCAATCCAGACAAAAAAACTCAGAAGTGAAGAAAAGTGAAGGCACTGAAAGATTGGAACAAGGTGAAGAATCATTCTCAAATATTTTGGAAAAATGATGAAGTGACTGGTGCGATAAACCGGAAACATTGTGATGTGCTGTCCTCGATGTTTTTGGATTTCGGAGTGTGTGAGAATTGTGGAGATGTGACTTGTGAGGTGAGAAATGAGTAGTGTTATTAATAACCTGCACGAATTCCAGCAATTCAAATTCTGAACTAATTAATTGTATGTATACATATGTATTTGTGATAGTATACTTTAATCTCACTGTTTTCAAACTCCTCAGTCCTCGTGTCAATCAATGAACCAAATAATTAATTTACAAAACAAATTATTTTTGTATTAACTTTTATCATATAACTGTGTATACAAATAAAATAAAAATATTATATATGTTAGTTTTATTACATCAAAATTTTAATAATATTAGATTTTGTAAAAAAATATTCACCACATAAATGTATATACACAATTTAATTTCTAAAATATTTTTAAGAAAAAAAACCAAAAATAATAATAATAATAATAATAATAATGATTGGATCGAGGCAGATTTTAGTTGGGTTTGATCGGTTCAGTTGTTTAACAGTCTCATTCGGGCCTGTCCTACCTCCGATCGACACGTCGGGTCAAAATATATAACTTAACGGTCTTTATCTTTAAACAAGCTACTATATTTATCTGAATGCACGATTAAGGATTTCATTTACCTGTGCAACGCACGGAATAAGCAAGAATGAATAAATATATAAATAAGTAAAATGAATAAAACTACATAAAGTTCGAAAAAGTACTACGTATCACATTTTTCTTATTGGGACCGATCATGTGGGCCGATATGGAGTTGTGTTAATATACGATCCCGTCAAAATCCAGTCAATCTGAGAATGGATCTAGTCGGGTCAACCTGATTCTATCTGACCAATACTTTTGTATATATTTTATGATAAAAATATTATATATATATATATATATAGATATATTAATGTGATAAATATTTATGATGAGATACAATTTTTTCAATCAATCTTTTATCATTGTAGGTTCCAGATCAAAAAGATAAATTACATAACGGATCCAAAAGAATTAAATATATATTTACCACTTTAATTTATATCAATTTGGAACCCAAAGAATGGATCAACATCAATTGTGGGTTTAAAAATTAAAACTATCAATTTGAAACCCAAAATATTTATAAATATTAGTTGAAAAATTTAAAGGTGAATTATTTTTATATTTTTATTTATATTTAGATATTTTTATTTATAATTTATATTTACATTGTGAACCCTTTGAGTTATATTGTTGACAGGATCATTTGTAGCTTTGTAATGCTCATGATAGAGTAATTCTTATCCCCAAATTACCTATTCTTCTACATGTATTTGAAAGCTTGTAACCAAACCCTAACAAGGCATTGAATGATATATAAAGTATTTTCTGCAGCATTCTTCTTTTGTTTATTCTTTACTCGTTTTAGTTCATATCTCATTTCAGAAAATCTTGAAAGCACAATTTGCTTTTCCAACACGTCTTGTGTAGTAGCTGCAATTACTGTGATTTGAAATATGAATGCATCTGTACTGAGTGGTAAACGCATTTATTTAAAGGGAATTACTCTTCACTGCCTCCTATTACTATTTATCGCCCTTTTTGGATATTTTTGTCCCTGCCATTTTTTTCTAAAAAAAAAATAAAAAAATATTGTTGTCCGGCCGTCGAAACCGGACGGCCCAAATGGCGTCCAGTCCCGACGGCCGGTCGTGACCGGTCCGACCGGTCAGACCGGCCGGACATCATGTTTTTTTATTTCTTTATAAAATAATATTATTATAAATTATTATGTTCTATATTCAAAATAATTTGTTATAAATTGGACATTAGAATAAAAAAAAAATCATTCAACTGAAGTTTAGCAAAACAAAAAAAACCATTCAACTTAAAAATGAAAAAAAAAATACCATTGATGCGATTTTCGATTGCTCTGTAACACTGCAATCGAAAATCGCATCAATGATAATTTTATTTTCATTTTTAATTCGTGTTACAGATCATTCAACTTAATGTTTTGCAATAAAAAAAAAAATCATTTAAAAACGTTACATTTTACATTAATAAAGTACAATGACAATTTTAAACTAATTTATTATTTAATATCACTACTAATCGATTATAATAATAATAAAAATAATCCAAATACTTTCATAACTAATTAATTGTATAATCCCTCTAAATTACAAAATTATATTGTAGTTGAGGAGCATCGTATGTCTGTTCCTCTCCCGACGAACGGACGCATCTACACCCCGACTTCTAGTGTGTTGGGAGCCAGAACCTTGATAATATTCATTGACCTCGTCGTCGTCATCCCTGGCAGATTATCTAGGTCTACGGACGCATCTACACCCCGACTTCTAGTGTGTCGGGAGCCAGAACCTTGATAATATTCATTAACCTCGTCGTCGTCATCCTTGGCAGATTGTCTAGGTCTACTAACACCCTGAATCAAAAATATAAAATAATAATTACTAAATATTTTTTTGCTAACAAATTACATATATATTTTTTAATATATTCTTTAACTATATTTAATATATATATATATATATATCTTTTAATAAATATATATATATAATTTTTTTAATACAACTAATTATTAATATATATATATATTAATATATCTTTTAATTAACATTTTTAAGTCGAATTTTAAATTAATGATAAGAATTAATTAAATTAATTATAATAAAATTTAAATTAATTATAATAATTAGTTATAATTTTAAATTTAATAATTATTGTAATAACTATTATAATAGTCATTAATTAATTTTATAATATTTAGTAATTTATTGTTATTATGATAATTAATAATTTTTTTATCGAATAAATTAATTAATATAATTTTGTATGTGTTAATATAATATTTTATTTGTTTTAAATTATAATAATTATAAATTATAATAATTAAAAATTATAATAATTATTATTATAATTAATAAAAAAAAAATTTCGGCCGACTCATGACCGGCTGGCGGGGCC